AAGAACCAAGAAGACCAAGTAAAATATTACATTAAAATATGCAAAGACCCAGAGTTAAAAAGATCAAGAGAGAAAGAGATAGATAAGCTCAGTGGCTCTGAAGTATATAAATTAAAAGAACAAAACAAAACACCCAAGCCTTCAGTAGCAATACAGAAAGACTCAGCACTATGGGCCAGGCACTGAGCTGCTACCTGGAAGGGTGGAGAGGTGTGCTCCTGAAACTACTTACAGTCTCAGAAACACTATATGGGGCTGCTAGGAGGCAGAATCAACCAAGTGGTGGTGGGTTTTGGGTTTCTGTGGGTATGGGCAAAATAATGAATGATGAAGAAAGCATTAAGAGAAGACAGAAGAAATACAGAGTCACAGGACCAAAAACCCCCGGCCCAAGTGCAACCATTTCCAGAGGTAGCATAGAATCCTATTTTCTTAATCAGAGAAGCAATGGCATTGAAGGAAGCAGTGCAAGCCACACTGGAGGCATTCATGGAAACAAGGCCCCGGGAACAGCAGAACCCCAATGGAAGTGTCTCACGAGGCTGATGCAGCCTCAGAAGGAACCGTTGGCCTATGCCAAGTCGCTTGGAAGACAGCTACCTGGCCAATCACCTGGAAGCGATTCATCTCTGTGTTCACTCCAAAGAAAGGTTATCCAACAAGAGGAAGAGTGTGGACATTACCAGACAATATCATTAATATCACATGCAAGAGAATACTGCATGGTTTAAAATCAGGAAAGGTGTGTGTGTGTGTGTGTGGGGGGGGGTGTCCTCTCACCATACGTGTTCAATCTGTATTCTGAGAGAATAGTCCCAGAAGCTGGACTGCATGAAGATGACCGCGGCATCCGGAGTGGAGGAAGGCTCCTTAACAGCCTGTGAGATGCAGGTGACACAACCTCGCTGGGTGAGCGTGAAAAAGCACGAGGACTCAAAGAACTGATCGATGAGGATCAAAGGCCTCAAAGCTTTTTGTGTGGCTTACAGTCTATTGTAAGAAAGCAAAAATCCTCATTACTGGGCCAACAGCCAATACCACCAAAACGTGAGACAAGGACGTGAGCAAGGACCTCATTTTACTAGGGTCGGCACTCGATGCTCATGGAAGCAGCAACCACGCAATCAAACGACATATTGCACTGGGGAAATCGCTTCCCAGGCCATCTGTAAAGAACAGGGATGTCACTCTGAGGATTAGGTGCACTTAACGGTCATTTCAATCACCCCATGTCGCAGTGAGAGCTGGACAGTGAAGAAGGCAGACCACAGAAGTCTCGTCTCCTTTTGTCCGGAGAACACAGGACATGTCATGGAAGAGTCGGAACCAAAACGCTTCTGCGCAGTGAGGATGGGGAGACCTTGTCTTCAATGGGGCAGGGAGTCGGGGATCCTATGTTGAGCCAAAATCCTCCAGGAGCATCTAGAAGAAAACGTCCTCCATTCCAAATTATACATCCACAGGGTTCCTACTAATGAAGGAGGAGGTCACAACCCAAGGTCATTAGACACAGGCCCGGGCAAGTTACAAAGAGAAGACATAGTTTATTTGAAACCGTTAACAAAGCAAAGGACTTAATCCCAATGATGATCAATCAGCAAGAAACAATCACATATAGACATATCAATGTGGAAAACCAAGGAATAAATGGAATAATCTTAAGTGAAAAAACATGATGCTTATAAGAATTTAAATAAAGTTGGAGAGAGAATTTAGGAACTGGAAGATACATCTTCGAAAATGATCTAGAACATCACAAAAGTGACGTGGAGATGAAAGATAAGTGAGACCCAGTAAGAGATAGGAAGGACAACCCCATCCTCCATGATCACGAGGCGGGAAGAACTAGATGGTGAATGGGTACTTGTGCTGATCCTTCTGAAAGGCATCATACTGAGAGGCCCTGGATAGAGTGGGAGAAAAATATGAACCCAAACTCAAGGTTGTAAAGAGACCAGGCTTACTGGGTTGACAGAGACAGGTAAAATCCCCTGGACTATGGTCCTTGGACACTCTTCAGCCACTAACCCCTGGGGCTCCACTTTCAGCTAAATGATCGGCAGCCCTATAAGACGAACGATCGATCACACCGAGGAGGAAAGCACTCATTAGAGCTACCAACCACAAGAGAGCGAAAGGGCAGCATCTGCCCAGCAGCAAAACCGAGAAGTCAGGAAAGGACCAGAACGAGGGGAAGTGGGGGAAATGCGGTCAAGATCGCAAAACAAACTGTGTACTAATTGTTAAAAGGGAACCAGCTTGCTCTGGAAACTCACCCAAATTACAGTTTGAGAGAGAGAGAGAGAGAGAGAGGAACGAGAAGACCCAATACATGGTCTGGAGTACCAGGAGGATGGAAAAGAAACTGAGAGGAGACAATATTTAAAGGGATTATGGCAACACAGTTTCAAGAATGGAGAAAAACACGAATCCTTAGACTTGGGAAGCATAGCATGTTTCACACACGGCAAAGGGGAAGAACTCCGTGCTTCCACATATGGGATACACCTGGACAGCACTCAAAGGCCACAAAACCCAAACCCATTGCTAACAAGTCGATTCTGACTCACTACAACCCTGCAGGACAGGGCAGAAGTGCCCCGCAGGGTTTCCGGGCTGTAAATCTGTAAGGGAGCAGGTGGATTCCATAGCAGACAGACCGAATGCTTAACCCACTGGGGCACCAA